ACGCACGCACGCACGCACACACGCACACACACACACACACACACACACACACACACACACACACACACACACACACACACACACACACACACACACACACACACACACAGAGAAACTGGATCAGACTTAAGGGAGCATCTGCAAAGTTCAGACTGTCAACAAGCAGGGGACAAGGACAGATAAGACTAATCTCTAGTCTCTAAGTTAATGAATCCTTAACCCTTGGAGGGAAAACAATTTTAAATGTCTGCACTGCACCGCGACTGATTTAAATCAGGATTGAGGATAATTCTAGTGCAAAGAAAGGAGAGGAAAAAAAGGCATCTCGAGCTAGCTAAGCTATATTCCCCAATTAAAATGTGTACGCTCAATGTTTGCGTGCTTTAAATGTTAAGCTGGTAGAATGGATCTGAACAGCGGTTTATTTCTGTGAAGGCTTTTCATACATTTAGGGTAATATCAAGGGTAGCTATGGTAGTTGTGTTTTCAAAACAGATTATGGATTATGAATTGAAAAGGTTATGTCAGTGATGGAAGCAGGCTGTTAATATGTCAACAGTCCCCTGGCTTAACTCTCAGGGAGTCAATCCAGAACATCAACAATATTCATAGCCAGGCATTTAGTCGGACGTAGAAATGCTCCACATGCACGTCAGAGGGACAGTGCTCTGTCGCTCTTCATGTGGATTTTGCTGTGGCAGATTACTGTCCGTGGGTCCTTCATTTAGTCCCATTTAGGGAGAGATGCTTTCATCTATGTCCCAACTGACTCGTCCTTATGTGACTTTTCTCATACATACTACTTGTATTGTCACAGTCTTTCAGAATAAACATCCAAATATTAATGGTCATTTTAATATGGATAAATTCCAAAAAGAAATTGCTTTATTCAACCCATGACATTGAAGGAAATGGATATCATATGTGCAGGCTTTCTGGGATGCATTGTTTTGGGGACAATATTGTGGGTTTTTTGTAGTTGGATATGAACAAGCTACTGTGTATATTTAAGACATGTCGTGGTTGTATTCCTTTCGATTAAAATGTTGAAGCCACACATATTTACCACATCTTTTTTCAGAAATAGGGTAAAGCATATGCATAATGAATGTTCCACCCACTGCGCATAGTAAATATTAATTTATCCAGTTCCCATGACTAAAGGTGTGCCATCTTCAGGAAAAACTACATTCACATTCATTTATCTGAATGATCTCCAAAATAAAACAATATGGATTACACAGAGGTTTCGCAGAGAGGAGACAGTTGCAGAACTGGTTAGATGGAGTGATGTCATGTTGTTTTATTGGTAACCTGACTCAATGTATCAAACAGAAAATGAATGACTAACTGCAGAAGCATTGCATTACGACAATATTTGAAACACTGCCTAATATAGTATGACGCAAAAAAACAAACCCACACAAAGATCACTCATAAAGCTGAATAATCTCAAATAAATCAAACCAAACAGGAAAGTCCACCCCCAGTGTTTGCAAAACTTGAGTAAGTAATCCTTATCTACTTTCGACCCACTGTATTGCTTCCTATAACTGATGTGAATACAACTGTCTTCATCACCTAAGTCCACTGATCAGGCAAAAGAAAGCAATCATCAGTAACAGGTCATCTCGTCAATGGGAACAACCTTTTCTCAAATGAAAACAATCAACTTCCCCGTCATTGAAGCTATTATCTGGGGGATTGCAGGTCACAGGAAAAACAATGCAGCTGTTAATCACTGACAGATAAGGGACTAAAGAGATCAGACTTTCCATCTTCTTTTTTACCCTCCATCCAATCATGGGAAGTCACTCGCAGCCAAACTAAGCCACACACATGGACAGATGATATTGGAAATCCTGATTTTAGCCTTACACCAGTAACATATTTCCCTCTCAAGTGATAATAACAATACCATAGAAGAAGCAGATGATCTTACCTGCTGAGGGGTTTTGGGGAACAGTGGTTCACTGGGTTTGATGAGCTTCCCCGCAGAGCCCTTCTCTCCCTTGGCCATGGCCGAGAGGCTATGTGTGAGCCGGCAGCCGTACTTCTGCGGCTGTGTGTGTGAGGGAGTGTTGAAGTGAGTGTGACTGTGACTCCTGGTGTGAGCGAGAGCGCGAGGAGCCGCCGGCTGCCACTGGGTGGTGTGTGTCAGAGGGTGAAACTGGATGTGGCTCTGACTCCGGGTGTGTGTGTGGTGCTGGTGGTTCACGTGAGTGACGGCTCCAGAGGCTGCTGGGAGCTCCTCCTGCTGCTCCTCTGTGACAACTCTGCCGCTTTCTGCCGCCATTCACATGCTGTTGTTGCTCTGGAATGAGGCCAGGAGGGAAGGGAAGGGCAAAGTCAGTATATGCAAAAAAAAAAAAAAGAGGAAACACAATCACACACAGTCAAATGACAGGCATGTACTGCAACATACGGGCTGAAGAATGCAGGCTCATAAACACAGACAATGACTTTGGAGGCATGCACAAAAACATAAATAGGACAATGCATGAGTAGAATACAGATGCAGGAGGAAAAGACAACACACACACACACACACACTCACACAAATTATTGCTCACACTATCTTAAGAAACCTTTTTTCTTAAAATACATTTACCTATGAAGTCAAAAGTCCTTCTGGTTGCCATCACCCTAATAGACAGTTTGCATTAGACTAAAACTGAGAAAGAGAAAACAGCGACCATGTCCCGTGCAGGAGAGTCTATTCTTCCCTCATTTTACTATAAAGTGCATCCATAAACAATCCCTCTGCACACCTGATCAGAACCTTGAAGGTTATATCTGGGAAAAAAGGAGGAAACTCAGGTATGGTCTTACCCCTTATAGGTGAGAAATCAGCCGGTGCTGTCAGCGGTTGTAAGTTAGTTGCTGCCTGCTCGGTGATCTCCCTTTCAGCCAGACGGGGCAGGATGAGAAGGAGACTGCGGAGGATAGAGACGGTGTGTGTGTGTGTGCGTGTGTGTCTGTGTGTGCTCGGTGTGTGCAGGGAGTAGGGACGGAGCTGCGCCCTGCAGCGGCCGTGACGGTGTATGACAACTAAATGGATTGCATGCTTGTAGGCTATGCATGCATGTGCGTGTGCATCTGTGAGGGGATTAGGGCAGGCTAGCGTTTGACACCAGCAGTGTGTTGTGGATGGGGAAACATTGCAATGAGGCCACGCAACGAAAATGTTGTATAATATTTCATAACGGCTTATAGTAAGTAGCGACTGAGGGACCAAATCTAGTTTTTTAATCTTTTGTGGTAAACAAACCTACAATATTTCATCCCTATGGTATTATCCAGTAGTAAAATATAACATCTGTATGAAAGGTCTAAAGGTGGTAACACTCACCTGTCTCATGATTCTGTTATTGCAGTGTCATTGTTATCTGTTCATAATTCGGTCGAGCATGTCAGATATTTTCCAGTGAAGTGGTGGTGCACTTGGAATGTCTAAAATGCAGTTAAATTAAATTTCTGTCACGCCCAATTACCTGTGTATGCATAATCCCTTTAACAAGGAGCCGGAAAGGTGTGTGTGTGAAAATAACTCAACAAAAACGCGCCAAAGCGCCTAGCTGCATATTTCGCACAGTGCATCAGGATTAGCATAATTTACTAGGTAAAGTTAGAAATGTATTGAAGGATTCGACCTTTAGGGATTAATAACTCATACACAAAACGTTTTTTATACATAAAACTACGTCCATTAACAACCGTAGTAAAGTAGACAACAAGCTACTTGTGCTAATGTTCATAAAAACAAGCTAATTGGCAGGACATCTGCAGCCAGAGGAGAGAAGCATACGCAGGGACCGTCTACAAAATGCAACACACAAATATTAAAAAACGTCTCTCTCAGAAAGTAAAGTGATACCAAAATCACTTCACACAATAATGGTCTCCCACTGGTTAGCATACAAAACTTATTTTAAAGAAATATATGCTTGTTTTGCATAATTTTTTTTTTTTTCCATGTGTAAAATATTCAATAACTTCACTACCTCCTGGGAACCGAGGAAAACAAATGTTTTCCAATCTTCTTTATTTTTTATTTCCTACCTATTTAGGGTTACAAAAAACATCTTGCAATTTAGACTTTTTTAATTTAATTTAATTTTTAAATGTTACAGTATGTCCACTGTAGCCTATAGGACGTCAGGACCATTTTAGTTTGAAAAGACAGCCAAAATGAACAGATAGACTATGTAAAGTATTATGGCTATAGAGTGATTAATACAAGAATACATTCACCTTTATTTAAAACTTAAATAAGTAATTGATCTGAACATTGCTGCTTATTTGGTCACTAAAAAACTAGTTTGGTTTTTGGTGAATCTTTCCAGATCTTCAAAGACTTTGTGCTGGGAAAAGTAATTGACTCCAGTCGGCACGGGCTGTATGGGTAATCTTGACTAGTTTTATGGATGTGGTCTCCATTTGACCATGCTCATAGAAACAAACTTGGCATTCCTGAGGCAATTCTCATTTTTCATGGCTCCACTTAAAATAAAAACAACAATAAGACATACTTGCTACTCTTGGCCCACAGAGGGCCATGTCTTTCAAGCTCGTCCCTATCTGTCTCTATATCTGTATCTGTGCGCTCATGGAGCCTCCTGCATCTTTTCCCCCTTCTTCTTGACCCTCTTCTAACCCAGGTGTGAAATCCTCATCTCTTACATCATCTGAGAGCTCAAAATCTGAATCTCCATTAACTATCTGGTACAGAAAAATTATTTGATTTAGCCTATAACATGCTACACTAAATGTATTATTTCATTTATATTATATTATTACGTATTTAGCAATATTTGACATTTCTTAATTTTGTGTGTCCTGTGATGCCATAGAATTCAGTTGAAAGGACCACAGAAAAGAGCTTGTATGGGATCTTAGATTTAGAAAATGTTTCCCATCTGTGTGTTTAACAGTTTGCATATTTGTATATGTTTTTTAACATTTGTTTGTGAATATTTTATATTTTTCCCATATCCCTTTATGATATAGGTAAATTCATTATTGAACGCTGTTATGTTAATATATTTTATGTTCTTTTTAATTATTCATAATATTTGGGTTGGATCCACTATGATGCAGCTACACATAACTCTTAGAAGTCACTGCAGTGAGGATTGTAAAGTTTAAATGTTATTTCTTATTTCTTTGTATTCATTAAATGTGTATATTGTTTCCTTTTAAGCCTGTCTTTGTGTGTGTAATATCCCTCCATAGAGATTCATAATGTCTTATCTTACGAAATTCTGGGCAACAGCAAGCAATGTGCCACGCCCATAAACAAAGAAACATGCCCTATTATCTTCTTATTTTTGCACCCTCTTGGTATGATGTGGCACTGTAATAGCATAAGAAATATATACTACTAATAAATACTAGTACATTATTGTGATAAATCACACCCAGTTCCACACTTAGTGTCTGTGTGTGTAGAGGAAGGGAGGGGAGCTGGACCGACAGCGTGGCTGCAGTGCCGCAGAAATACAACTGGTCCAGTCGACCAGCAGTCAAGCTGCTAATAACATCCTCAGCTTGAGTCCTTTTGAATGGACATTTTTGGACACATTTGATGTAACTGTGTGCCTTACAACCCAAAACGCGAGTGGGTTTATTTTTTTGAGGGAGCATAAGCGTGTGTGGAGTAACGCCCACTGTCACGGATATCTGGCCGAGAGGCTGACAGTGACAGACCGTAGAAAGCAGCCTGCTTTCCCCGGCGCCGGGAGCCACCAACCCGGCCGGTGGGGACCGGTGGGATCGGCTAGCTGGAAGGCTAGCTAACTGTCATTAGCCGAGGAGATCCTCTCTGACCAGCATCCTCACACACTTTGCTGCCTTGACGTCAACTTAAAAAGGTGAGCTATCGTGCTAAATGAGTCACATTTGTGAATGTTAATAGACAAATGGCTTGCGAGTAATGGTGGGAATATATTTAAAAACAAGGGGATGACAGGCTCACCGTTAGCTATGAGCTAGTGAACAAGAGAGCTAGCTAAACATTCCCAAACTGGACATAACTAAAACATATAGTAAGCTAACGTGGACAGTGGAGACAGTGGTTGACATTATCAACTATTTTCGTTTTTATTTACTGTATATAAACAGTATGTGTCCATATCATTATGCAATATCGAGAGCTCAGTGCTGTGCAGCTGTCATCTCTGAGCTGTCATGCCCAAACACCCAGCCTTAATGTGAAGTGAATGTGGTTTTTATGCACAGTGTGTGTGATGTTTGTGTTTTAATTTCCTCTCCTCCCAACACATATTTCTGTGACAGTGTGAAGATGGACTGAAACATGAAGGGTGGAACTGTCCCATCACCCAAATAAGAGGGTGTCTCTCTTAGGTATGGTTCACAAATTCCTCTTCTTTGTTCACACTCTAGTTAACCTTTGAAATATAATGTTGAATTATTTCTTCAATAATAAGTTAATGAGGTAACTGACTGATCATGGTTACACAATTGTTTCTTGAACCTACTTTGTTGTGCATTATTTGTTGGTACCGGCAAACCATCTGCTAATTCTGTGCAATGCCTTGTTTTTTATGCTGCTGTAACTAAAACATTTCCCAATTTGGGATCAATATATCTTATCTTATCTTATCTTATGTGTTGTAGACTGTTGGATCTTGACCATTGGCCACTATAGCCTACACAACTACTTGTGCGGTTGTGTTTCAGTATTCTCAGCAAACTTGTGTCCTGGCCAATGTTTCTCCATTCCCCACATCCTGTGTTTTGAGGAAGCTTCCTCTTTTGTCCTAAAGTGCTTAGCTGCATCCTGATCAGGGTCACAGATCGCACAACTGCTCTCAATGGGTGCTTTGTTTTAACTCAGAGTTTTCCGTTTTAGCTTGTTTTTGTACATGTTCAATGCTATACCTTTCTTTGTCACAGAAGGTTGCTGTTATCTTTCTGGTTAACTATCAATTTCCTCAATTTTTGTATCAGTCATAACTTCATGTGGGTGGATACTTTTCTTTGAGTTGAAGGATTGATGTATTTAGTTTGCTATCCACTCTTTTTTTTAATATATTATTACTTTTACATGATTTAGCCATCCATCCATTTATCCGTTTAACCTTGTCAGTTTTAAGGCCCGGACACACAAAGCCGATTTCGGCCGTCGATAGATGTCTGGCCGTCGATGAGCGTCCTGTATCCCTACTCAGATTGGTGTGTCCCGCACCGATACGGCCGCACTTTTCGGCCGTGCCGACACCTTCCGCGGCCGATTCGATATATTGAATCGGAGGCTGTCGGCAAAATAAATAACTCTGATTGGCTGTTCAGCTTAGCGAAACACTATTTGCCTGAATGGGAGTGGAGCAGTACAGTACTTAAAGGTGGGGTATGTAATTTATTTCAGAAACACTTTTTGTTATATTCCATGGAATGCTCTTAACATCCCGATAGCAATGAATATATGAAATGCTTTGACAATAAATACATTAAAAAATGTCATCTTTGGAAGCCGTAGCGCTGTAAAAAGCACGACCAATCATTTTAGCCGTCCCGGCTAAAATAACTGGATGGCCTACCTGCCTGTCAGCCTTCCATCTCGTGCATAAACTTATCTCGTGCCCTCATTGTCTCCACGATATTAGAAATTTTGGCAACTGATGATCAGCATTATTCCGAACGACTTAGTTAGCTGATAAACCAGCAAAAAACCTCCTCCTGTCCGACCAGTGGGAGTGCAGGGGACGCAGAAACCGGTTGTGTCAGCGTGACCTTGTGTCGGCGGTTTCTCGAGAGTCGGGCTGTGTGGCCGGTTCATCGCGTGCATGCTTGGACGCGTAGCGCACTAAAAACCGCCAACACAACCGTTTATTTGACGACGGAATGGTCGTCCCGCCGCCATCACCAAAGGCAGTAAGTTTTCGTTCCGTTTGGGTCTTCTGTGCTGAGCGCACTATGATATGTTTGTTGTTATCGATGTACGATCGTCGAGCTCCGTTCCCGTTCGATTGCTCC